GGTCCCACTTTCACCAGTGACACGGGGTCCCCCCAGGATCATGCAGTAGAAACAGGGTAGCAAGACTGACAGGCCGGGGAGACAGATGGCCCGGGGTCAGATCCTGGCCTTGGGGCTTCCTTCCTGGGTGACCTCAGCCTCTTTGTGCCTCAGTTTCCCCGTCTGTGAAATAGTGAAAGTAACAGTACCTCTGGCACAGGGAGGTTAGGAGTGCTAACGAGGTACCTAGGAAAGCACCCAGCACATGGCAAGTGCTGATCAGATGGCGCCTAAAGGAAAAGAGCCAACTGAGCCCAAGGGATGGTCAGTCCCCGTCCCTACCCTGGGGAGAGGCACTGGGTGCAGCCAGGAGGGCAGCCTTGCGGCAGGCCTGGCCCCGGCTCCCTTTCTCCCCGTTGCTCTGTCTCAGTTGTGATATTCATGGGAGCCGCTAAGAAGCAAAATATGGAAGCAGAGCCCTGGTTGGGTGGCTCAGCTGATTGGAGCACCATCCCCTACACCAGTGGTCGGCAAACTCATTAGTCAACAGAGCCAAATATCAACAGTACAACGACTGAAATTTCTTTTGAGAGCCAAATTTTTTAAACTTAAACTATATAAGTAGGTACATTGTTATTACCTTAATTAGGTTACTCCTAAGCCGGCCTTTGCTAAAAACGTCGTCAATCTGAGGGGTCGACCTCAGCAAACGTACCCCCACTTCTTCTAATGCCACTTCTTCAAAATAGACTCGCCCAGGCCGAAAACTTCTGCGCATGGGACACGAAGTTTCAACCGCACTGTACGTGTGCGCCCACACGTGGTATTTTGTGGAAGAGCCACACTCAAGGGGCCAAAGAGCCGCATGTGGCTCGCAAGCCGAGGTTTGCCAACCCCTGCCCTACACCAAAAGGTTGCGGGTTTGCTTCCTGGTCAGGGCACATACCTGGGTTGCAGGTTTGATCCCCTGTTGGGGTGTGTATGAGAGACAACCAATTGATGTTTCCCTCTTCCCCTTCCTCCCTCCCTCCCCTCTCCCTAAACATCCGGGAGTGAGAATTTTTTAAAAAGTAGAAGCAGGGGGTTCTTTCTCACAGCTGGGCTGCATCCCAGCCTATGTGTCCATGCCTTCGCCTCCCCCAGGATGTGCTGAACGTGCTGTCTTTGCAGTGAGGCCTGTGGCAATTTCCTTCTGGTCTATATACACTCACACCCCTGCCCAATTCTCGCTCCAGAGATTTATAATCAAAGTCCTTTACTCTGGCTTCAGATGGAGTGATAACATTGGTAACATACTTGGCACAGAATTTCACATTATATATTAACTAGAGGCTCAGTGCATGACATTCGTGCACTGAGGGGGTCCCTCAGCCCGGCCTGTGCCCTCTCACAGTACAGGACCCCTTGGGGGATGTCCACCTGCCGGCTTAGGCCTGCTCCCCGCAGCTGGAAATCCCCTGAGGGATCCTTAGCACTGCAGAGGAGGGAGAGACTCCTGCCACCACCGCTGCACTTGCCAGCCATGAGCCTGGCTTCTGGCTGAGTGGTGCTCCCCCTGTGGGAATGCACTGACCACCAGGAGGCAGCTGCTGCGTTGAGTGTCTGCCCCCTGGTGGTCAGTGCACATCATAGCGACCAGTCACTCTGCCATTCTGTCAATTTGCATATTAGGGTTTCATTATATAGGATGCTCAATAAATATCAGTTATTTCTCTATTGGGAAACAGTGGGTTGTCCCGAAAGTCGCAATCCTAGTCTGCCCTCTTGACTTTGTAACATTTGCTAAGCACCTAGCACGACATCTGGCACTTAAAGGCTTTCAGGAAATGTGGGGGGTGGAGAGGATGAATGAGCTTATTTTCCTCTTCCAGGCCCAGCTGGGCTTTGCCGTGCTTGACTGCCCCCAGTTCTGCACAGTTGCCGCTAGAGGGCAGGAGAGGTTAAGACAACTACACTCAGGACCCCTGGGACCCAGAATTACTGGCTTGGAGGAAAACATCAGAATGCTTGAAAAAAGCCAGTTCCTTCTCTCTGGTGGACCCAATGGAAGGAAAGGTGTAGCCAGAGAGATTGAAGTTAGACTTCAAGAAGAACTTCCAATGCACAAAGTATGCTTGCTAGAGATTTCATACAGGTGTTTTGCTTTGTTTTTAGGCCTTTAACTACATCTGCCCAAGCAGAGTAGATGAGAAGGCGGGCTCTTCCTGTCTGAGGCTTGTGTGACCCCACTAGGTCCGATTTAAGTGTCTGCCTTCAATGACTCCATTCCTGCAGATGCAATAGCAAGATACCTTTATTGGTCAGCCAGCCACCACTCATGCTTCTCCTGCGATAAGAACCCTGTATAGCGGCATGACGGTGCTCACGTGCAGGTGCTTCCTGAAGAGCCTGGGCGGGGGCAGCCTTGCCCCTCACATCAGAGCTCCTTTGTTGAAATGAGCTGGTTTGTTTGGCTTTTGTGGATTTCAGGGTCTGGGACCAAGAACAGAGTCCAAGGACCCCTCCTTCGCTTCTTGGGCAAGCTGCTCCCAAACACGCACAGTATCAGGGACACAATGGCATCTGGCAGGGGCCAGGCTAGGGCTCTCTCTCTTCCAGGGGTCCCTGCCTCGGGCTTCCCAGGTGGCTCCATCCCCATGGGGCCCCAAAGAGGAGGGCTAGGCTCCAGGCGACATTACCGTTCAGAAATGGGGAGTATATAGCAATGCTCTCCAGCCAAGCTATAAAGCAACAGGAACCTTCAGTAACGAGAGTGTAGCTCAGAGCTGCAAAAGCAGAGGGTTTTATGCTCAGCACCGGAAGGAGCTGGCTGCCTGGCCTGGGCTTCAGCGACCCAGTGAGCATCCCCAGCCAGCGCTGGTCCTGCAGAACCGTGGCCTTAGCGCAAATCAATAAACACAGGTGAGCCACAGCCTCCTCCTTGGGCCAGCAGGCAAGCCTGGGGCTGGCTGGAGTCTGCTTCTCCCACCAGGATGTGGGCCTTCGTGCATGGGTCAGAGGAGGGGCCAACCTCCCTTTCTCATGCTGGTCTCTCCTTTGAGGATAAGACCCAAGCAGGGAGCTGCTGGCCATGCAGAGTGTGGGGCAGCCTCCTCGTCCAGCCTGCTCTGCCTGACCTTCCTCTTTTGAAGTCCGATCTACCTGCCCTGTACAGTTTTAAGAGCCCCCTACACTTTTAAGCCTAAGGTTGGTTGTCTCCTCCCATATTGGGCCCTGAATATTGTCATCATAATGGTGACCTTGAGTCTGGTGGCTTTCAAGGAGTGAGGTTAGGGAGGCAGAGAGGTGACTCTTGGGTCCTTCCAATTGCAGACACAAGGGTGGGTCCTCTGGCAGGCAGATGCCAAGGGCCTGAGGCCTCCTGTCTGGGGCTGAGGCCAGAGAGCTGTCTGTGGGGCCAGTTGAGGGGATGAGGTGGAGCTGGGAGGCAGCTGGACAGAGGTATATTCTGAGGAACAGTGAGTGCCAGCCCAGGGGAGTGGCATGACCAGCCCCGCACGCGCACATGGGAGCGGGCAGGCGCTGCTCAGAGTCGGGGATTGTTGGGAAAATAGCTAATGTGCTGTGCCCAGGCAACTGCAGAGCTCATGACTCCAGACCCTCGGGAAGAAGCTAAGGGTAGTGAGATTCCTGACGCTGGGACTGCGGGTATTGCTCCCTCTGCCGCCACCTCTGTCCTGGGAAAGGGAGCTTGGGCCTGCACCTCGGTGGAAAGCTGCCTGTGCCCTGGCCCACCTGACCCTGCCTACAGGGAAGAAGATATGAGGGGAGCCCGTGGAGTGCTGTCACATGGTCTGTCCTAGACCTTCCAGCAAAAGCCAAACCAAACCATCAAGCCAAATGCAGAGGGGCGGGGGGGCTTGGGCCCCGCGCAGGGGCAGGGCCGCTCAGATCTCGATGAGGCTGGCCTGGCGCAGGCAGAGGGGCGCGTCCTCGGGCATGGCGTTCCGCTGGATCTCGTTCCCGTCCAGGCGCAGCACCTGCAGCTTTGAGAAGTTTATGACGTCCACCACGGTGCAGAAGCTGCTGATGGAGAACTCTGCGGGGACAAGAGGGGCGGAGGTGGGTGGGAGGAGCCGGGACCAGGGTCCCGGATCCGCAGCGAGGCCTGGGAAGCTGCTTGGCGCCGGGGCTGGAGCTTGGCTGGGTGGCCCAGGAGGGCTCTAGGGTTGGAGTCATACCCACTCCGACCACTAGGGGGCGCAAAAAGTGGGACTTCAGCTGTGTCTGCCGCTCCAGCCTCCTACCCACCCCCAGCCTGGACAGCACTTTGCAGACCCTGGAATGCCCTTGAGTGTTCTTCCCACCAGGACCTGATCCCTTCCCATCTGCGTGCAGCAGGGGGAAGCAGAGGAAATCAAAGACCAAGCCTGGCAGCGAGAGGTATGGATAGCTTTTGAGAGGGCTTTGCTCTGAGATGAAAGACAAGGCAAATGGAGGGACTCAAAGCTAGAATATCCCTTGCACTTTGCAGACAGAGAAAGTGGCAGGAAATTACCGTGAGAGCTCCGGGATGGAGAGACCGCCTCTGGGGGCCAGACTCAGAGGGGCTGTGCCCCTCCACTCCCAGCACTGCCAGGGGTGAGCAAGGCGGCGCTGAGGCTCAAGGACACGACAGACGAAGCAGGCTGCCAAGAACCCCCGGAGTCAAGTACACAATTCCCCCGCCTCCTGCATTTCACATGACTATGGTTTTTCTCTTCCTTTTAAATTCCAAAAGAATGTTCCCCTTTCAAAGCTCTCCCCTCAAACCACGTAATCCTAAGAGGTGCAATAGTTCTGTTCGGTTTTAACAAACTCTTCTGCAGCTTTTCACCCCCTTCTCCCTCTGATTGTCCTCTTAGGCACATCAGCCGCCTCTGTCTAGGGCAGTGGTTCTCAACCTTCCTAATGCCGCGACCCTTTAATACAGTTCCTCATGTTGTGGTGACCCCCAATTTCATTGCTACAAATTGAACATAATTAAAGCATAGTGATTAATCACAAAAACAATATGTAATTATATATGTGTTTTCCGATGGTCTTAGGCGATCCCTGTGAAAGGATACTTCGACCCCCAAAGGGGTCGTGATCCATGGGTTGAGAACCGCTGGTCTAGGATCTACTGGTCAGGAACTGGAAAGGAGAAAAACAAGAACTCAGTTAAAAATCCAGCAGGGACACCAGAAGTCACCACCGAAAAGCTCTGAGGCCCCTGGGGCTCCTTCACGTGGTAAGGGCTTGAGGAAGATGCTCATGTGAGTATCGGCCTGGGTCTGGTCTCAAGGGTAGGGCCCACTCAGTACATCTCCAGGGCGAAACGCCGGGCTGAGCCAGGGTGGGGCTCACTTTTATGTCCACCAGAGGCGCTCTCGGCTTGCCGCGGTGGTTGGGAGCTCTGCAGGCCTGAAGCTGGGCAGCAGGAGTGGGAGGAAGGCTTTCTGATTCTTCCCAGGGGCGATGGTGGAGGGCGTTGTGGGGATGAAATGAAGGTTTCGAGGAGGACAGTATAGAGACGCCACAGGCTGGGGAAGAACGTGTTTTTAAATTAATACAACCAATGGGTTTCCGTCTCTGTTAAGAACTGACCAAGAGGAGATGAGGTGAGGCTGCAGCCAATGTAAACAGAAGACAGAAAATCCAGGCCCAAAGCAGAAGGAGGGGAGGGGAGGGGAGGGGGGGGGGAGTTCCCTTTTCCAGAGTGTACTAGGGAAGGAGAGAGAGTCTGAAATCTTTGGGATGCTTCCTTTCCGGTCCTGGGGAATGGGCCGAGTGGCCTCGGAGTGGGAGGGCTGGGGGCAGAGTAAAGGCCAGGGGCTGGGTCTAGGTGTCCGCATGGAAGCAGTGAGTGGGGTGAGCTGGGGAGAAGCAGAGTGGCCCAGTGTGAGTAGCATTTCCTACCCTATTTGGGACTGCGCTCGCTGGAGGTCCCAGGATAGAATCTCTACCCCCTGTTCAAGCCCTGGCTCCCCGCTCTGCACATATAAATCCGGGGGCTCTGGGGGCTGTGGGCACACAGTGTGTAGATTCCGCCCACATGCTGGGTGCCCTGAGCCCCTGTGTTCCTTCTCCAAGCTCATTCATAGCACAGGGCTCTTCTGCTTGGAGACTCTGAGGACACTTTCCAGCCCAGATTAAAAGCTGACATAAGTCTTTCCAAACTCCTGCTGCTGTACCCGCCCTGCCCCACTGGATCCCAGAGCTGCTGAGTACAGTCCGAGCTGTGTTCCCTGCTGTTGCCAGGCTGGAAAAACTGAGGGCGATGCTAGTGGAAGAAGGAAGAGGAGGGGGAGGACGGCCTGTCCCCTGCACACCCTTAGTTCCTGCCCTTCTCCGAGGGCTCCTTCAATCCTGCCTGCACCCCCACCCGGTCCCTGCCGGCCCCTGCAGGGGGGCCTTTCTGTCATGCGCCCGAGGAGAGGGGCTAAGCTGGGGCTCTGTCTTCCCTGCTGGTGATCTGCCTCAGGGGCCGCTCCTCACATTCTCAGCCAGAGACGCCTGGCTGGGGGGGGGGGGGGCACGAAAGGAGGGGCTCAGGGTGCAATGCTACACAGCCTGGGTGACATGGAGAGGCTGCGTTTCCTTCCCTGCCTCAGTTTCCCCATCTTCACAACACAAAAGGTAAAACAAAACAAAACTATGCCTGTTAACTTTAAAGTGGCAAAAAGAAGAAAAGCTAATAACAGTGATTGTGCATTGCTGTCCCAATAATGTGCCAGGCCCTGGACCAAGCACTTTCCATGTGCTAATTCACTAATTAAGAAAAATAAGGAATTGCTGTTATTTTGTCTAAAGAGAAGACTAGGAGAGAGACTAATAACAAGACAAAGATTATTTGGCTTAAATTGTACAAGAAGGGATTTGGGGTAGACACTGAAAAATTTTATGTTTTTGTGTTTTGTTTTGTTTTTATCCTCACCCAAGGAGTGAAAATATTTTCTCATTGGTTTTTAGAGAGAGTAGAGGGGAAGGGAGAGGGGAGGGGGAGAAAGAGAGAGAAACATTGATGTGAGAAAGACACAACGATCCTACACGGGCCCTGACCAGAGGCAGGGATCGAACCTGCAACCCAGGTATGTGCCCTTGACCGGGAATCAAACCCGAGACCCTCTGATGCACAGTCCAACGTTCCAACCACTGAGGAATGTCAGCCAGGGCAGAACACTTTTAGGTTTTTTGACTTAAGGGAGAACTTTCTTGGGAGACCTTAGGACACTTTACTAAAGTAATTTTATCTTCAGCAGAGTTTTAGAAAGGGATGGACCACCTAATATTTGAGCAGCAGACATGGTTCTGCATGAGGGCAGGATGGTAACAGACGCTGTGATGAAGCCATTTCCACCCCAAGTCTCTCTGATTGCATAGTTAGGCAGTGACAAATGGGTTCTCTCCCCCGACAGATGCTCTTCGCTGTCACGGTTTCAAGGTCAAACTCTGATGGAGCACAGCATAGAACATGCCGTTTCTGATGTGACAGTCCTCCTGGATTCAGAATGGGTGGCAGGTAAGGAGTGATGACTTCTGGGAGGGGTGAGGGAGAGTTAGTGGAATGATGGACAGCTGCGGGTAAATGTCAAACCCCCTGTGGCATGCACCATCTTAGAGACGTCTTAGAGAACTGCCCCCTTGGAATGAGACATTAAAGACAAAACCCCGTCTGGTGTCTGGCACTTCAAACTAGTGGACCAGACACCTGTCAGCTTTCTTTTGTTGTTATTGTTGTTGTTAATCCTCACCTGAGGATATTTTTCCATTGGTTTTTAGAGAGAGAGGGAAAGACAGAAACATTGACTTGAGAGAAACACATCGATTGGTTGCCTTCTGCATGCGCCCTAACCAGGGCTGGGCAGGGGAGGCCAGCAACCAACGTACGTGCCCTTGGCCAGAATCAAACCCAGGACCCTTTGGTCTGAAGCCCGACACTCTATCCACTGAGCCAAACAGGCTAGGGCCCTCGTCAGCTTTCTAGCCCCACTGCCAACCTCTGGGACTGGTGTCTCTCTCACTCTGAGGGCTGTCCAGCTCGTTAAGGTCTCACCAAATGACTGATCTGTTCGCTGAGCACTGGGAGAAAAAGGATCAAGAGACTCAGGGTGATGACTCAGCCCTATAGGGGCTCTTTGCTCTCAGCAGGCTCTGCTTCAAAGCCCTTTGTTAGTCTTTCTTTCCCCAGGGAGAGGGGACTTTGCTGACAGAGGAAGGGAGGTTAAATGCTGGCTCTGGGCCCTCCGGGTAGGATTAAGACATCAGATGCCCGGAGCCATGTAAGCACAGTCTGAAGCAACATTCTGAGTAGGAGCTGGCAAGCAACCAGGTAATCCAATCTGAAACGAATAGGCAGCTCTTTGGGTTCCTTTAGGCATCTGCAGGGAAGTGCTTGGGAAAGAAGAAGCCCGGGGTCCTTTCCTACCACCCCAGGGCTTTGTCGTGTTCAGGCTCATGTTATTCTAGGGCAGGGGTCCTCAAACTTTTTAAACAGGGGGCCAGTTCACTGTCCCTCAGACCATTGGAGGGCCGGACTATAAAAAAAAAAAAAACCATGAACAAATTCCTATGCACACGGCACATATCTTATTTTGAAGTAAAAAAACAAAACGGGAACAAATACAATATTTGTATTTGCATGTGGCCCGCGGGCCGTAGTTTGAGGACCCCTGTTCCAGGGGGACCTTTGCCCTGCCTCTAGGGACTCCTTGAACTCCAGGGAGAACTGACCAGAACAAGTACTGCATTCAGCTCAGAGCAGCTGCACAATCTTGTCCACCAACTATTAATGTTTGAAAAGCAAATAAACACCCAAACACAAGACCAGGCTGTAGAGGCAGGAGTAGATGGTGTGGAAACAGAGAGCGCATCCTCTTCTGGGCCAGTGAGTAGGTGCAGATGCCATGGTTTCTTAGCCCACCTCCCCGTCCCCCCCACCCCCAGGATGGATCCTACAAATTCAACTTCAATCCCTTCTCTCTATGAATGGCCACTCCCAACCCTTTCCAGACTAATCTCTCACGGCTCCTCAATCTCATGACCCCTTCCTCTCAGTCACACGAATTTCCTGGCTGTCCCCTACAGGTGACCTGTTCAATGACTGGTTCCTTTGATCCTGGAAATTTGTCTTCGCAGAATGGCTTTGTCCTGAGTTCCTCTAGCCCAGTGGTCGGCAAACTCATTAGTCAACAGAGCCAAATATCAACAGTACAACGATTGAAATTTCCTTTGAGAGCCAAATTTTTTAAACTTAAACTATATAGGTAGGTACATTGTTATTAACTTAATTAGGGTACTCCTAAGCTGGCCTTTGCTAAAAACATCCTCAATCTGATTGAGGTACGTTCGCTGAGGTCAACCCCTACCAACTCTCCCATCCACACTCGTCTTGTATACTTGTTTCATCTACCTCCTTTCGTTCATCCTCTCTATATGTCCACCCCCCACTTCTTCTAATGCCACTTCTTCAAAATAGACTCGCCCAGGCAGAAAACCAACTTCTGCGCATGGGCCACGAAGTTTCAATCACACTGTACGTGCGCGCGAGCACGTGGTATTTTGTGGAAGAGCCACACTCAAGGGGCCAAAGAGCCGCGTGTGGCCCACGAGCCGCGGTTTGCCGACCACTGGTCTAGCCCATGCCCACTTATCTCTCAGGACGTACATTGAAACTTCCTTCTGGGAAGTCTTCTTACCCACCACTGTCCACTAACTTTTATTCACGCTGCTGTTAGTGCAAGGCTGGGTCAGGCTGCTTTAGTTGTGCTCTCCAGTTACTCTACTGCTATGTCTTTTGTGCTGCCACCAGCACGCAGAATAGGGTCTTTCCAGTGAAATAGACTGCCCCTCCCCATGCCCCTTAGCCAAGGTCTCACCATTGATCCTATTGCCCTGGAGGTAGAGGTTCTCCAGGTTGGTGTTGACTGGGGGGATCTTCTGCAGTTGGTTGTAGGAGAGGTCGAGCTCAAGGATGCTGCTGGAATTGAAGGTGTTCGAGGCCAGGCCATTGTTGGTGAGACTGTTGTGGGACAACCGCACATACAACAGTTTGGGCGACCCCCGGAAGTAGCTGTCGGGGACGGAGTAGACGTTGTTGTGCTCCAGATACAGCTGCTCAAGGGCGGAGGGCAGTCCATCCGGCACCCTCCGAAGGTGGTTGTAGCTCAAGTCCAGCAAGATCAATGACCGGAGGCCCCTCATCGCGCTGCCCACTTCCTGGATCTCGTTGTGTTGAAGGTACAAGGCTGTGAGGTTCTCCAGCCCCTCCAGCGCATTGTTGGGGACCCGCGCGATCTGGTTGTGGTCGAGATGGAGTTCCCTCAGGGATCGAGGCAGTGGGCCGGGCATCCGGGTCAGGTTGTTGTGGTCCAGGTACAGCCTCTCCAGGTGCCTCAGCTTAGAGAAGACCTTCCTGCCCACCCTGTCACTGGTGATCTGGTTGCCGTGGAGAGCGATCCAGAGCAGCCCGGTGGCGTTGTCAAAGACACCTTCCTGGATGGAGGAGATCTGGTTGTTCTGGAAGTAGACATACTTCATGCGGGAGGGGACGAAGGGCAGGTACTTCAGGTTGCGGTTGTCACAGTACATGGCCGTGGGGAAGTTAGGGGGGCAGTCACACTCCTGGGGGCAGTCTCGAGGTTCTGGTGGTGGGGGTGGAGAGCCATAGGCATAGGCTGGACCCTCCTCCACCCCGTAGGGGTAAGGCTCATAGGGCTCATAAGGGTAAGGTTCATAGGGATCGTAGTAGGTGGACTGCTGGCTGCGGAGGTAGTGGAACCACCAGTGAGGGTCGTCGTCATACTGGGCCCAGGAGAGGGAGCACAGCCCTGCCAGCAGCAGGACAGAGGCCCACTGCATGTTGTCTCTGCAAGAAGGGAGAGAGAACAGGGCAAGCCCACATGAGTGAGACTCCAGGGAGGGGAGTGGGCGAGCCTCAGGCTTTGAGCGGATCTGATTTGGTGCCAAACACCTGCAAATAGGAGCCTGGCTCTCCCTTCCTGCCTGCCTCCTCCCAGCTGGACCTTGGCTGTCTGAGGGGAGCTGGGTGCATAGAGGCCCAGAAGGGGGAGTCTTTGAGATGAGAAGAAACTTGAATGGGGGTGCTGCATTTTTTTGGAGGGGCAGAACCTGAAGGTTCTATTGTGGCAGCTGGAGAGCCCATAGCAATCCCTGTGGGGTGGGGGGCCTGAATTCACATCCAACTTGGACTCCCCGGGGAAGTAAAAATTTTCAAAAGTCCAAGGAAAAAGCCCCATGTTTCTGGGAAACCTCCAGAAGTGGCTGGAGCCCTCAAAGGGGAAGATCTGAATTACTTCTGAAAGATCTTTTGGTCTCTTGGGCAGGCTGAGGGTTTCTGATCCTGAGTCTTTGGGGAGGCGTGGGCCGCCCTCCAGAGTGCCAGCATCTAGAACAGTCTGCTGGGTGAGGATACTCTTGGGTTAGCAGTGTGTGGCTACACATGCAACTTGGCAGGCACTGGCGCCCGGGAATGGCCCTTGTCTTCCAGAGTGGCTGAGGGCAGGGAGCCTGAGTCAGTCCACCTGCTGTCCTCTGTGATGTCTAGGAAAGTATTAGCACTCTTCATGCTCCACCACGGACATTACGCAAGAGCCACGTGGGGCCAAGAGACATGAATTGAGGAACAGCACAAAAGGGAATAGGATTTGAAGACTTACACGTGTGCCCAAGGGAACGTGGCTTTAGAATGGGATTCTGGCATGCCCCTGCCATCCCTGTGGAGACATCTGGATTAGCAGGCTTCCTATCGAGGCCCTCACACTGGCATCAGCTGTTGCCTTTGAACTTCTATGCTAGTGAGATGAGAACAGGCAGGCCTGGGGACAAATGCAGGCTTGGTGCCATCTGAGAGGGAAGCTGAAGGTATGGAAGATGAGGGGTCAGGGGGTGACGCATCAGGCCTGAGCACCTTACTCTGACTACCTATAGCCAGAGTGCTGCATAGCTCCTGTGAGCAATGGGCACCGTCCAGAGGTGTGACTGTCACCCTTGGATGGGGAAACCTTAGACCCTTTTTGGTCCTGGGAAAGTCACAGATATCTCTCACCTGACTTTTGGGCCTTGCTGGGGTTGGCAGCTGTGGACAGGAGAAAGAGAGAAGTCTAAAAGCCAGCATGAAATCCACTGAACTGATGGGCAGCACCCTGACTGTGACAATAGAGTCACTCTGTGTCCACCACCCATCCCAGACCTCTTGGTTCCCTGAAAACAGTTCTCTTAGGCCAGCTTCATCCCATCAGCCTCTGGGCTGCAGAGGAGAGGTACCCTGGCTCACTCTCAGGCAGCCTGAAGCCTCGGACAAAGAGCCCACAGTGTTTCTGAGAAGCCAACCCAATCGCCCATGGCCTGGGCACGCTGGCTGGGCCCTGGCTCTGGCCAGGAGAGAAGACTGATGGAGCGGCCCACTGCCAACAGCACATTTTTCCATGCACAGCTCTGGGCTGCAGCAGGACCAAGGTGGCTGTCTGAGGCTGGCACAGTGAGCCTCTGTCTCCGTTTCTCCTTCCAGACTGGGTACTTTGGCAGACAAGAGCCACCTTCCTCTTCAAGACTCAGCTTTCCAGGGGCATGCATCCTGCCCACTTTGGCCTCTCCTTAGGAGCCCTGACTGCTGACAGGGTTTGGTGGGGACCTTATGCCTCTGCTTGTCCTACCCCCATTTCTTGTTGTCTGCTCTTAAATCACCCCTAATGCTAGAGACCCTCCTGTGCTCAGCGTTTCCTGAGGGGAAGTTTCTCGGACTGCCACTCTGTGAGTTGGGGAAGCTTACTCAGGAGTTACTGCTGCTCTCTCATTTCTCCACTCCACAGAACCACCCCTCCCTTAGCAGAGTGGAGGAGGTCAAACCAGAAGCCATCCCCTCCCTGGACTGGACCCCCACTCACAGCTCCCTACACATGGTCAGCTCTCAACACTTCTTTCTCTCCCTTTCACCCCAGCAACACACACACACACACACACACACACACACACACACACACACACACACTCAGACTCAATACACAAAACTCCCCTCCCCCCTTCCCCAGCAGTGTTTTGGCCCCACAGCCCCTCTATAGGAGAGACTGCAGGGACACGGGGCGGGGGCGGGGGTGCGGGGGTGGGGGCATTGATGAGTAGTAGCCGGGCAGAGCTGGCTCCCCTTTGCTTTTTGTGCCTGAGAACTGGAGGTCCCCTCAACAATCAGAAAGGAGTTGCAGGACAAAGGTAGCAAGCTGGGACCCCTTCTTTCAAGGTCCCCTTGGCCGTCTCCAGCATCCTGGGGGCACGGCCCAGAGAGGGAGAGGGAGGAATGACTTCCCCCTGCCGCCCTCTCCCACTCCCCAGCCCCTTTCCCTTATTTTCTGGTGGAACGACAAGTCACAAAAACAAGTAAAACGACTACACTTACCTGGAGTTGAACCTTTCAGAGTGACCACGTCCCTCTGCCTGTGGACTCCTGGGGCTGAAGGAAGTGTGTGTGAGAGCGAAGGAGTGAGCGTGTGTACCGAGAGCGCCCGGTCTGTGCCAGGCCAGGGTCCCGCCCCCGAATTCCTAATCAAATATTGTGAAGAGAGGGGCTGAGGAGCCAGGATCCTGGCTTTTTCAGCTCGGCTGCAGGGGCGGAGCTCACACCCAACCGCGCGGTCCTGTCTGCCTGCCGCTAGGAAAACCACCTTCTTTCCACTCACTGTCTCCCCAGCATTGGCAGCGCTGCGCTCTCTCTGCTGAATGAGTTAGTGGCGCCCTACAAGTTATTTGCACAGGCTCTGGGCTTCTCATTAAACCCACAGGGCAGATGCCGGGCTGGGGAGAGCCAGGCTTTGGGTAAAGGCATCTTAATTAACTCTTTCAGCTGATGGTGTCTTCCACTAGCTAGTATTCATCCTTCCCAGCACCATACACTTGCACTTATCCTTAGGGTTCCCAACACTTAACTTGTTGGGTTGAGACAGGATGATGTGAGAGGCTGTGTGTGAGGTGCCTGGCCCAGCACCCAGTGATGCTCACCACGTGGGAGAGATGATTGCTCTTGTACCCATTTTACAGATGTAGACACCCTGAGCAAGGGGAGGATGAGGTCTGCGAAGCGTGCAGGAGCTAGGCCAGGAAGGGACCTTTAGGCCATGGAATGGGTTTAGTTTTTATTCTAAAAAAGACATGTTGTCTTATAATCTACTGGGGAGAAGCCGCAGGATCTGACTCACATTTCTAAGGGCACACGGGCGAGACTACTGTGTGGGGAAAGGGAGGCGGGGGTGGAAGCATCATTGAGAGGTGATGGCAGGTGGGCCTAGAGCAGTGGAAGGCTGATGTACTTTTAGATAAGGAACTGACAAGCCCCGAAGATGCACCTGATATGAGGAGTTAGGGAGGTCAAGAATGAGTCCTAGATTTGCAGTGTGAGCCACTGGGTGGGTGGGAGCTCTATTCCTGACATCGGGAAGACGGGGAGGAACAGACTTGGGGGGAAACAACGTGTGCTTTGGGTTTGGATGTGCAAGTTCCCTGTTAGGCCTTCCATGGACATGTGCTCAGACAGGTCTGTGAGTCTGAAGTTGGAGTTTGGGGGTTGGAAGAAGACATTTGGGAGCCTCGGAATTTAGATCACGTGTCCTAATTGCTCTCTTCAACCTAATGGCCTCACTTCCAAGAAACACCCCCTTAAAATAATTTTTAATTGTGGTAAGTTACATGCAACATAAAATTTATCCTCTTAACCATTTTGAGGGAAATGTATTTGCATTGCATGTCACTGGTCTCCAGAACTTTTTCACTTTTTTAAAACTGAAACTCTATATTCACTAAACAAAAATCCCCCATTACTCACCCACCCTCTCACTCCCAGTCTCTGCAAATCACCATTCTGCTTTCTGTTTCTATGCATTTGACTACTCTATATACCTCATATAGGTTCCGTCATACAGTATCTATACTTTTGTGCCTGTTTTATTTCACTTAGTATAATGCTCTGAAGTCTCATCCATGTTATGGCATGTGTCAGAATCTCCTTCCTACACTCTCCTCTTGTATAAATACACCGCATTTAAAAAATTCATCTCTCTGCTGATGGACATTTGGATTGCTTCCACAGCTTTGCTGTAGTGACTAATGCTGCCATGAACATGGGCGTATGAATATCTCTCAGAGGCTCTGCTGTTAATTATTTTGGATGTGTGCTCAGGAGTGGAATTGCCGGACCAGACGGCAATTCTATTTTTAAATTTCTAAACCACCATGCTGTTTTCCACAGTAGATGCACCATTTTACATTTTTTATTAACAGTGCAGAGGGTCAAATTGGAGACAGTCTGTATTAAAAAGAGGTTGAGAAAGCCCCAGGTCTTGGATTTGGAGAATTTAGAGGTGTCAGGCAGATGGCACTTTCGGTTGCTCTAAAAGGTTGAAGCTGTGCGGGCTGTTCAAAAAGTCCTGGTCAGGGGCTCAGTCTTCTCGGCAAAGAGGCTTTGAGGAGATTAAACATGATGAATGGGCTTTTGCTGACCACTTACTATATAGGAGGTTTATGTGTGTTATCTCTTTAAATGCTCACAGCAGGTACTTTGCATTGGAAACAAGGGCTCAGATGTGGAAACTGCCTGGCAAGAAAGGGCTTACACAAGAATTTGAAGCTAGGAACTCCAAAGCCCATGACTTCCCCACAACCAAATGTGAGAGGACTGGTGAAGAGGATGGGGTGAGGGCCACCTCGCTGCCAGGCCTCTTTTATTGATTGATTGATGATTTTAGTGTGTATCCAGGTTTGAGAGTGTTATCTGAAAGCAGGGAAATGGACACAGTGACCTTCAAAACAGAGGTCATCAGTTAAACATCTAACTCCAAGAGAGGGGACCTTCCAAACTTTTCTTTATGACGTACCCAGAAAAGAAGAGAGGAATGAAAATGTACCCTTCAGGGTCCAACAAGCAGAATCCGAAGCAGCCCACTCAAGCTTACATCTCACGTTTGATATAAAAATATTATGTGAATTTTGCATTTTGTCCCATATAAATAAAAAATTCATATTTATTTCAATAGAAATCCCCAGCCACTCCCCCCTCCTCCCCCCCAGCTCTTGGGTACCGATGGTGCCCCAGATACACCACACTTCCCTGGTCCCAACTTGAAGAGCACAGTGCAAGCCATTCACCTGGGCTGGCAAGCCCCTCTGTCAGGATGGGGCATGGGGGGAGCCCCCCCTGAGCATCTCAGGATGCACCCTCACACCCTTGCTGTGGGGTCACAGGGACAGGAGCCCGCAGACCCCATTCCCTATGTCTGTTGCTGTAGCATTGGTGGTGGGAGGGGGCACCGTTGCTTCTTCCACAACTTTCCTGCTGGAGAAAACCACCGAATGGCTCCCAGCCAGGCTGCTTACTGAGCCTTGTGGAGAAACAGAGTCCTTTTTCAATCCCCATGAGGCTGTATTTCCAAGGGAATTTGCAAGAATAGAAATTGTTTTCATCTTCAGTGAAGATACAGAAAGATTCATTCCCTCCTCTACCTCCCACTTTTTAGATCCCAGCTACTCTAAGAACACACCCTTGCAAGGGAATGTGCCCCCACCCGCTCCCTGCTGGCAGCCAGACTCATAAGAAGTTCTCAAACTTTGCCTCTGAGGCATTTCTGTCCAGCTACATTCAGACCTGCCCCCTCTCCTAATCCCTTGGCCCATTTCCTCCAGCTCCCCATCGACCAACTTCAACAAAATGGCATCTTCCAGGAGCAGATGCGCTCTGGTTGCTCTGGTTTGAGGGGGTAGCTGGACTGTGGGCCAGGATTGGAAGTGGGAGACTTCTTTATGGAGAACTGGAAGAAGGAAATCTGCATTTTTTAAAGCTCTGGGCTAGGTCCTCCACAGACATCATTTCATTCATCTTCGTAAACCTGAAGCACAGCTACAATGATCTCCATTTAACACGTAAGATAGATTGAGGCTTGAAGAGGTGAGCTCAGTTTTTAAACACAAGCCCACACACAGTATGAATGGATGGATGGATGGATGGATGGATGGATGGATGAATAAATGAATAGATGAACAAAGGACAAATGAATGAAGTAAATTGGGAACCAAACTCAGGGCTCTTCCAACTGTGCCACCTGCCTGAGGGTCACCTGGAGTCACTGTGAGTGATCCCTTCAGGGAAATGCACTGAAGGCTTCCCACGCTTCTCACAGGCAGCGCTAACTCCTCCTCATCCATGTTTCCCTGGCTGCTGAGGCTCCCCCTCAGCAATGGCGGATGAGGGCCGCACCAGAGGGACTTAGCCCTTGCTCTGAGACCTGCGTTACTACCCATACTTGTCCAAAGGAGTCAGCTGTGCGAGTTAGTTGGATAAAAGCTCTCCCCGAAAGCTCAAACACAGACATCTGCTGTGGGGCACAGGATTCTGAATCTCCATCCGGAGCCTGGGACTGTGGGTGTCATGGGACCTGCTGCACAGGCCTGACTTCCGGTCTCCTCTTCCTAAGAACCAGGTTCCATGAAAACCACGTTGAAGAAGACAGAGGTGAATGTGTCCTTTTAGTTTTTCTCTCTTTTTCTGTGTTCTTGCCTAGTTTTCTTTGACTTTGGCCTTGGTTTATCTGCATTGCTGAAGGAACAGCTTCCCTAGCTCGGCACCCACGCCTTGGGCATTGTGGGTATTCAGGGAAGGTGTGGTCAATTGCATTGAGTTGACAGCTGCCAGACACATCACCTTCATCTTGTCTCAACAGGAAGGGAGTCCCTGACATGACCAGGAAGCAAGAAGGGGAGGAGCCATTGGGAGGTGGGGAGCTCGAGGGGCCCCTGAGTTAGGAAGCCTTGTCCTTAGTTGGCTCACTCTCAGGCAGCCTGAAGTCTCAGACAAAGAGCCCATAGTGTTTCTGAGAAGCCAACCCAGTCGCCCATGGCCTGGGCACGCTGGCTGGGCCCTGGTGGAATTTGACATGAAGGCGTGCCATTAGCTGAAAGGGAATGAAGAATTGCAAGGTTAGTAGCTGGGACGTGTTCTTGCCTAGTTGTGTTGTTGTCCTTAGAGGCCCGTGTCTGCAGCCCAGGCTGGGACCCTGAGGAGGCTCTGAGCTATGTGGGGATGCCATCAAGAAAAAGTGGGGTTCAGGCACAAAGTTGATGCTCTAATTAGCATCCTCCCCTCTGCAGTGTGGGGCCTGCTTCTAATTTAACGTAGCAGGGGGTTGGGGAAGAGAGCACCAGCTGGTTGGAGGTAAAGGAAAGCCAGATTTTATTGTTTCTTTTTTCCTTTCTCAGCTGGATGCTTCTCTAGCTACAGAGGACTCCCTTCTGACAACCCCCCTCCTCCCTTCTCAGTAGTCACCCCCTTGTGTTGAGTATTGACATTTTGTCTCTTATGGAAGAGAGTGTGTGTGCACAGGCGCACATGGGGAGAGTGAGGGGTGCAAGCAGCTTGCCTGGCTTATGCTGGCCCCGCTCCCTCCCCACAAAACCTCCTCAGACTGTTGTTTGTGGCCCAATGAAGGGCCAGCCACATGGCAGCCATGGGGTTAGGAACAGTCCCTGGGCTGCCAGCAGCTTCTCCTGAAGTCGCAGTACTTCCCATGTCTGGGGAAATGCAAGGAAACACTACGGAGCCATTACCTAAGGCCCGGCATCCGGGAGTTGAGTGCTCTTGGCCACCAGGTAGTGGGGACCTTGAGTGCAGCTGGCAGGGCCCCTGGCAGCCTGTGTGGTAACTGCTGTGCCAACCCACCCAGGGCAGAGAAGCCCAGTGGCATGAACACACTTCTTTAAGTTTCAGAGAGGCCTCCTGGCTCCACTCACCTGGGACCATGCACGTGGCCTCAGGGGCAGCAAGGCAGCTCATCCGAGGTTGGTAACCAGGGCCCGCTAAGCCCCCGCGTGTTCTGGAGGTTAGAGCGGGGGATGGATGGAGAAGAGCCGGTGGCCCCTCCAGCTCTTGACAGGATGAGAAAGTAGCCTTTTCCTGGTGAGCTCATAGCACCAAGACTGTTCTCTCCCTCCCCCGCCCCCCACGCTCCATCTACCCAGCCTAGTGGGTTCTTCATGCAAAAGAGTAAACCCAGGCCAAGCAGTGAAGGAGGCTTCGTACCAACCCGGAGTGCCAGGGCAGTCACAATTCAGCCACCCTCCTCCCTTCTGCTGGGTGCACATCCTGCCCCCTAGGCTTCCGCTCCCCTCCTGGCCCCTGCCTGTCCAGGGGCCTCTCCAAGGAGAACACTCCCCTTTACATGCTTGGAGGTCAGCGTGGGAGTGGGCACCGGTGAGCGTGGTGCATCACTCACCAGCTCAAAGGGAATCCTGCGGGTTGCATGATGGCAGCTGCCCGCAGCTCCCCCTTGGCTGGCCTGCTCTGTGCTCCATCTCCAGCGCCCTCACCTTCCCATTAGCCTCGGTGGGCACTGCTGTGCATGCGGAGGCGCAGGGCTCACAGGAACCGTGGTGGTGTTTACTCATGGCTCCCGGAGATGGGCAATTAGCTCTGTGCACTGGCGGCAGAGGGCCTCGCTCCACGTGGGAACTGTGTCACTCGGCCTGTGGGCAGGTCAGTGTATGCAAGAAAGTGTGCAGCGACCCGGAGGCTGAATCCGACTGTGTGTGTGTGTGGAGCGTGGCTGCAATCTACGTTAGAGGAAAGGTAAGGCAAGCCGCCCTTATTGCTTCTCCTTTTAGAGGAGGAAGCTATCCAGTAGGCCTGGATACCAGTGATTGCTACACATCGCAAAGACACACATGCATTTCATTGAGATGAAATTCACGGAATATGCAGTTAGGCATTTACAGGATACAGTCAGTGTCTCAGTGCATTCATGGGTTCTGCAGCCACCACCACGCTCTGGTTTCAGATCTTTGTCACCCCAGAAGAATTCCCCTCGCCCACTAACCATTCCCTATTCCTCCCTCCCCTCAACCCCTGGCAACCACTAATCTGCTTTCTACCTCTATGGATTTGCCTATTCAGAATATTTCATATAAAAACATGCAATATGTGATTCATTGTCTTCAGCTTCTTTTCCTTAGCCATAAAGTCTTCAAAGTTCATCCAAACTGTGGCCTGTGTCAAGATGTCATTGCTTTTTTGCCCAATCCGCGTGGCTCAGTGGATGAGCATATGACTATGAACCAGGAGGTCACGGCTTGATTCCAGGTCAGGGCACATGCCCAGGTTGCATACTCGATCCCCAGTGTGGGGCGTGCAGGAGGCAGTGAATCAATGATTCTCTCTCATCATTGATGTTTCTATCTCTCTCTCCCTCTCCCTTCCTCTCTGAAACCAATAAAAAATATATTTTTAAAAATGATGTCATTGTTTTTTATGGATAAATAATATCCTATTGAGTGTATAAATCACAATTTGTTTATCTGTTTATCCGTTGGTAGACATTTGGGCTGTTTCCACCTTTTGACTATTGTGAATAGTGTTGCCATGGACATTCATGAACAAGTATTGGTTTGAGCACCTCTTTTCAATTATATACCTAGGAATGGAATTACTGGGTTATATGGTAATTCTGTTTTACTTTTTGAGGAAATGCATTTTGTATTTGATCTTCCCAGCACCCTCTGAGGTAGAGGGAAAGATATTAGATAGAATGCATATTAAGCATCTTGCTCATTACCTAGCACATATGAGCTTGATAAATTAAAAAACTTTATTCTTACCAGATGCAGAAACTGAGGCTGAGACTGGAAGTGACTTGCTCAGGCACTATAAGTGGTAGAACCAGACCTAAATTGAGGGCTTCCAGTTTCTGGAACATAAAGCCAGTCTTGGAATAGATTTCAGGACCTCACACTGCAGCTGCTCCTCAGATAACAACTCCAATAGTATGGATTTCTCCTTGGGCTCAGGGACCAGCCCTGCCCTGCCCTGCTCTGGCCCACGATTAAGAGACAGGACAACTGAGCCTAGAGCCCTTCCGCTCTACTCTCCTGACCCTCTGCACTGTCCTGCCTCCTCCCGGCCTTGGCCACACAGCAGCCCTGACAGCTGGCTGAGCGGTCACTCACCCTGACCTTCTGGTGTCCCTTCAGAGCCCCTGGTTCTCCTGCC